GCAATCTAAATTACAAAAGGGTTGTGTGAATATGTGACTATGATGGGTTGCGTACTTGTGATATGTTGTGTGAATATGTGACTATGATGGGTTGCGTACCTGTGACTGTTGTGTTGTGTGAATATGTGACTATGATGAGTTGCGTACCTGTGACTATTGTGTGAATTTGTTTTGAATATGTTGTGTGATGTGTGACTGTGTTACAAACGTGTGACCATCATATCTTCTATATGTGTTATGAATCTGCATAATGTGATTATAATTCTACCAAGGTTTCATATATATGTAGTTTTGGTGAGACTTCATTTATGTCTGTGACCTTGTTAAAACGTGTATGTCAGTGTGATTTTTCATACAAGCATTTAACACTGTGTCTACACTTAATGCAGGTTTGGAAATTCAAAATACCAGAAGCAAGCTGGTTTCCAGGCAAGATTACAACCTCAGTCAGTAAGGGTGTTTTAACCACCATTCAGACATCGTTAAGCCAACAGAAACTTGTATTGATGGACACATGTTTTGCTCATTTCTTGGATTGCCATGAAATTGTTATACATCCGCAATTGATTCACTACTTTCTTCTGCGGCAAGTTGATCGCCCGAATGACAAAGAAATGTGGTTTTATGTGTCGGGGCGATATGTCCGGTTCTTTATCTTGGAGTTTTGATTAGTCACGGGGCTGAGGTGTTCTGGGGATAGTGATACATAAGTGTTTGAAAGTAGATAGTCATGGTTAAAGGCAAAATATTTTTCTCAAGTGCATAGTGTAACCCACAAAGATGTAAAGTCCACTTTCATATCTGCAAGCCAAATGCCGGACTTGGATCTCGTTGAAACTCTTCCAGATAATGATGTTGCTATGATTGGGATGCTGCACTTCATCATGGCATATCTATTTTCAAGAGATTATAAGAAAGTTGTTGACCACTTTCTATTCGTGCTTGTTGAGGATTTCTCTACAATGAATCAGTTTCCATGGGGCAAGTTATTATTTGAAATTACGTTCAGTACATTGAAAGATGGGTTGAGTAGGAGGAACTCATACTACAGGCTACGAGGTATGTTGGTAGCCTTTCAAGCCTGGATATATGAGACTTTTCCTGGCCTTGATGGAGTTGTGGTCACACGAATATCAGGGATGTATCCCCACATCAAAAATTGGATTGTAGACGAGCAACCATCTGCTGCCAATTTGGAAGGACCTGACTGCTTCTCTAATCCTAATGTAAAGTTTCAGTAAGCATTATGTACTTAGTAATTATTATTCTGCAGATTGAGATTTGTGACTAGGAACCCTCGAAAACTGAAATGGCCATGCCATACATGAATGGTGTCCAGTACAAGAAGCCAGTTCAAGCAAAGTTCTCAACAGACAGCCGCAGAGATAAGAGTAGGATAGAAAGGTCAATTGACCGTGCTGGTATGAGTGGGAAGTTGGGTCCATCAGTGCTCCTGCTAATAGACAGCAGTGTTTGACAGTCTCGTGTTTCCAGCAACGATGATAATGATTTTATTGATCCTCCTCCTATATGGTAGGAGACATCTCCCCTTGGAAAATCCCGACCCAAGACTGCCCGTCAGCTGCTCATCATTCTCTAATGGAACAACAGGCTCGTAAGGCACAATAGGGTGATGTAAGTTGTTATTTTAGTCAGTTGTTAAACAATTATATTGTTGGTAACAGACCATTAGTTTCAGGTCACATGTGGTTTAGATTGGGTCACATATGACAGATTCATTTTGACAGTGTGCAATATATGGTTTTATTTGGTCACAGTCACATATAAGTAGTTTATTTATTTTATCAGGAGATTAAGGAGTTGAGGTCACAAATATCTGATCTGAAGTCCTATAATGAAGTGTTGAATGTGGAGCTTGATAAGATTAAGTCTCAGATGTCATCAGTGAATGCTGAGCAAACGACGAAGATGAATTACACAGTTCAAATGCAATCTAACATAAAAAGTGACTTGATGGAGATTAGGACAAATATGTAATTTTTGTCAAAAACGATATCGACAATGATTTCTAGTTCCATGGATGAGATTATGAAATGGTTTGGTCATAAAAAAAAGTGATCATGGAGTTGGAAAAAAGATCCTCCGGTTGTTGGAGGATCTGATAAGACCAAAGAGGTAGTTACATTACATTTTCACATAGTTCAAGAGTTTCATTTGACATTGAAAACATTCTCTCATTTTGTGTACAGGTGAAAATTGTGGAGCCACATGTGGATAGGAAAGGAAAGGGCAAACTGGACCCAACTGATGATATCGTTCTGCTGTATACTCTCGAAACACCGTCATTTGACTTGGGGGGTTAGATCTACACAACCTAATATTTTACATTCCGAAGACATTCAGAAGCATGTCGATTCTGTAATATCGGATGTGGTCACAACAATTACAACCATTGATACCGAGGTATTTATAACTGTAGGATTCAGACATTATGTAGTTCACAACTAGTTAATTGTCATAGGTCACAGATCACACTTATATGCTGGATGTTCCCGTCACGGATCATAACTAGTACATGGTTATAGGTCACAGTTCATGTGCATTATGCTAAACTAAGACGTGCCTTGTCACAAATTCAGAATTCACAAAATGCATATACTAGTAAATGGCTATAGGTCATAGGTTACACATATACTTACTAACCATTACACAGTTAAGTTCTAAGGTCAAGTTCATTTCCTGCTAGACTAGAGTTTATATGTTGCATGCTAAATTTAATAAATGTGCATAAAGTAATCTGTGACCCGTTACAACATTACGCAGGACACAACTACTGCTGAACCAACTTCTGAACTGCCAATTAAACGGGTTTCTCCGTTTGTGGCTGTAGAAGGAAAGTTATTCAAGCATGACGATATTGTTGTTTTTGAAAATTACAGAGGTCGTGTTGATGAAGTTGATAGCTCAACATTCATGGCTTGGTTCTAGAGAGGGTACAAACCAAGAACCAAGTACGTTTATTTCATATCCATTTGTTAATTTATATCAATAACTTGTTGTAACACAATAACTTACTTTTCCATATTGGTCACAGGAAAAAGTTTAGCGATGAAGATGGTAGAATCAATCCTGCTTTTGTTATTGGTTCACGCCTAGTCGGTCATAAGTCCTGGTTCTACCAACTTACAAATTTAGACTCATCTTTGACCAGTTCGGTATGAATACATTACTCTACTCATATAGGTCACATTTTCATTGCTAATTAGTCATAGAATTTATATACAGATCGCAGCACACAGTTATTACCTAATGTGCACAAATTGCAGTCCATAGTCACAGATTACTATCCATAGTTCATAGTCACAGATCACGAATACATGGTTCATATAAACATGTTACATTTCATTTTAATGATTCTTCCCTTTTTATTGAAACTGCACATGGATGCATGCTTTTATTACATTCGTCAGGTAGCAAAACTTGGCAACAAAGTGAAGTTTAGAACCACAACGACTGATTCCTGGTTTTAGAATAAGATCAAAGACATATACCCTGCTTTTCTGAAGGATCCCAATGTTCTGATATCAGAGTTTAGTCTTATTAAAGTTGTAACAGGTGATAGCCTTCCTTTGAGCACACCTTGGGCTAATGTTGACTACATGTTCATGCCATTACTGTCCACCAACAAAGCTCACTGGATGCTTGGTTTATTACAATTCAGAAGCCATAGGTTGATAGTTTTCAATTCGGCAGGCAAAAGTTACCGTGACTGGAAAGTTGTAAAAGGTATCGAGCCATTTGTGAAAATCTTGGCTGCTCTAATGAATAATCTTGGAATATCAAAAAAGGACCCCGATTATATTGAACCCAGTTGCATGGAATTGAAGGTTACTGTCGATGATACCTTACCTCAGTAGACGAATGGGTATGTTTGTGACCAAGAGTACAATGTGTATAACTTAAAAAAAAAATTCATTTGTAACATTTTGTCCTGTGTTGTTTTGCAGTCACGATTGCGGAATATTTGTGATCTTATATGCATTATATATCCTCTGTGAAGGCAGAGAGTCCATTCCACATACATTTGATGCTAGCAAGTGTAGAATAGACATTGTCACACTGCTGTACAAGCATTGTGAGATGTACGTGAAAAGGGCGAGGCAGCCTATAACGGGGGGAGGGGATTATCATAGAATGAAAGTAGACTGAAATACGTAAATGAAGTTGACGCTTTAGTTTTGTACATGTTACAAATATTAGTATTTTCTGTCGAATGGAGGTGATTGTATTGAATACTAACTTATTGCTGTAAGCTTTGATTTGCAATACATGAGTGCAACATTTTTTGCTCATAATATTGTATTTGTTACATATTATTGCAATATTTTCCATAACAAAAACATTGCATTTCATAGGTCTTCCATCTCACATATGACACATATCACATAATACACAACACAGTACTTGTGACCTGTGTCATATAACACAGGTCACAAGTACACAACATAGGGCATATCTCTGTTGGAGACGGTCAGATGTTAAACCACACAGGACACAAGTCACATGTTACACCACCCATCATTTATATTTGATGGAGAATGCAGTCACATATGTCACTTTTTTTGAAAACGTAATCACATGTCTCACAACTCAGGTCACAGGTAGTTATGAGACACAATTTAATCGAAACAGATATCCCATCTGACACAGAACACTTGTCTGTTGGAGAAGGTAACGTGTTATGATACATATGTCACATTTTATGGTCCGAACGGAAGAAGTAGTCACATATATGTATCTCATACAACATGTCACATTTGGTTATCAAACATCTTTAGAATTCAAACATAGGTCACTGTTTCTTATCATAACAACTATGTAGATGTCGAAACTTAATTGCACTTGAAAACAAAATGGTCACATGTATATTTCACTCTGCTATTTCAATGAATGTTTGAAATAAAAGAACATGAGATATCTATAATGTATCTGTATTCGGTTGAATTATATTTTCATTTGTGTTACTTTCCTATGTCATTCTAGTTTAATGGAACCACACTTGAGCATCTCCTACGATTGTGACCTTGTCCGCCACAATGATCACATTTCATTGTTGGTTTCCCTTCTCTGGATGATCTCTTCCTCTTCTCAATAGGTCTTCCAGAACTCCTCTTTTGGTTAGGAGCTAACACAATTTTGGCTTGTACTTCTTCAGGCACTATCTATTCATTTTGGTTCCCAACAGGATATATAGAATATTGGTATACATTCGTGTAAGCATCTCTTGTGTAATAGTAAGAATAATAAGCATATGGATTTCTCCTTGTATTTGCAATTACAGCCAAGGCATGTGAACACGGTATCAAATCAACTTGCAGCATCCTGCATGTACATGTACGTTGTTCAATATCAACAACAAATGTTGACTTTTCATCACTGACAGAAAACACTGACTGGTTGGAGGGAGATACCTGAGAGAATGTAAAAACAGTTGTAGTATTATATCTCATTTATTATAAATATGTTACAGAGAAATATCTTATGTCATAGGTTAATATATCAGGTCACATGTATTTATATTCATTGCACACACTTAGGTCCAGGTCACACATGCAAATGGTGCATACAAATATCTTCTGTCACATATGTACAGCTCATGTCACATGCATTTACGGTGAGTCACACACATAAATTTTAGTGTCAGAGAAATGAAGTTACCCTCAAGTGCCTCAACTCTACACTTATTTTCCTCATCTCATTTTCGTACTTGCTTGACAATTTCGTGAAAGTTCCATGTGCATCATCTCTATGTTTACAAAACCAAGATTGTACAGTTTTTCGCAATGACTCTAGCAGCGATACAGTAAGGTAATTCTTGGCTACCTTTGTCACAGCATTAACTGATTCTATGATATTCGAAGTCATTGTAGAGTATGTGTTTGCTAACATATGGATTCGTGACCACTTTTCCAGTCAAACATCTGCCGCAAACACAAAGCTTATTGATTTATATCATATAACCAACATATGTGACTATTTTTATGTATGTGAAAATGTCATTAGATGTAGTACACTACCAAATAACCAGTAATCTTCTCATTCATTGTGTCCGTCGCATGTAATATTCAAATTCTTCAAATGTATAATCACGAATAGCCGAATTGAATGCTTGTGTAATATTTTCATAATATTTCCCATAATATGATTTCAAGTTTTGTAACAAATGATATGTACAAATACCATGAGAAATCCCAGAATATACATATTCTATTGCGTGTTTTATACTCATGCGACGATCCTATACAAAACACAGACCGTCTCTGTGCCCATAAGCCTTCTTGAAGTTTTTCAAATTATACTCATGTGATGGTCCGATACAAAACACAGACCGTCTCTGTGCCCATAAGCCTTCTTGAAGTTTTTCAAAAACCATCTCCAAGATTTATCGTTCTCATTGTCTCCAATTTCAAAAGCAAGAATATATATGCTGTTATTTGCATTTTGTGTACACACACTGTGAAAAGGGTATCTCCATAATGATCATTCAGGTAAGTACCATCAACCACAACCATAGGTCTACAATGCTTCTATCTCTGTATTGATGCACCAAGTGCCATAAAGCAATATTTGAATCTATTGTGACTATCCACTTCGAGTTCTATGACCGTACCGAGATTCTTTTGTTGGAGCATGTAGAAGAAGCTTGGTATCTTACTAAATGATTCAGCTGGATCACCCCTAATCATTCTCAAAGTTTGTTTACGAGACCTTTAAGCTTTCGAATAATTCAAATAAACCCCGTAAGTATGCAACATATCACTGCATATATCTTTTGGAGTATATATAGTACATGACGATGTGTATTTATATTTAATGGTAGATGACACAACTGAAGTTGAGACTTGCCTGTGTGATCCCAACACTATATTTGATGGACATGTGTGACTACCAATCTTTCGAACCTTAAATAGATTTGTTTTACCCCGCTTTGATGATCTACATATCCAACTACATCTACCATGTGAACACTTTACAACATATTCTTTATTGTCAGACCTTTCAACCATAAACTCAAACATGTTCTGTATGGCGAAAAGGGACGGGCTCAGTTTCAAAATATTCTTATCACGGAAGACCCTTCATTCTTCTACCTCCCTAGCATCAGCTACCGATACAACTATGACTTCAGTGTCACATATGTGACCCATTATTTTAATTGATTCCTCACATATGTCTGATGCAATGTCTTCTAACGTACATAGCTTACCACTAGAATGTGCATTAATTGGCAATATGATAGATGTATTATCAATTTCTGTATCTGTATCATCAATGAATAATGAGTATTTGGCAGGTTCACATTCCATATCCTTTAGTAGAATGTACGATAGGACATTGTTATCATTCTTTATCCTAATCGGTGGAAATTCATCATTCAGCACATACTTCAATGAGACTGCTACCTTCATGTGATCCAGATCAAATTCACTCATAACCGTGTCCACAAGCTGTACATAACTGCAATTGCGGTCCACCAACGCCAATGACGACTGAGATCCATTTATCAAATATATGTGCAAGCACACCATTTCTGCAAGCTAAAATTAACATCAAAACTGGCCTCGGGATGAAAGTAATATGTATCAGGTCACATTTTCATGATAACTCAGAATTTTGAAAGCAAATGCAGGACACGTACTTATCACATAAAATACTGTACATATGTGCCCAAACTGAATATCACAATGGGTGAAACATCGGTCACATTTTTAAACAAGTCAGTTATCTGCCACTAAATACAAGTCACATACATATCAAATAGCATACAGGACACATATACTAATTACAGGTCATATATATATTACAGAGAATACTTATGTGTCTAAATTGAACATGACAGAGGTTAAATAAAGGTCACGTACTTATTACATACAATAGAGGCCACATGTGCTCAAATTGAATAAGACAATGGGTGAAACATAGGTCACAATTTATTTATTACCATTCTCATATTTACGCTTCAAATTCTACCCACTACACACAGTAGATGCATGAGTCACATACATGGAAAGTATGTAATCTGTGATTAGAGTATCCGTGACATGTAAAATACAAATTTATGTACATTATGTGAGTCCGAAGTTCTTGTCGTGTTCAGCGCAATGAATGAATTTCCAAGCAATTAGTTCGATTAAGAGTAGTTTTGGCCAGCAACGATTAGCACTCGTTCAACTACGATTCAATTTTCTCCCCTGAAATTGTGACCGTAAGATCAATTACTTCCTATAACATTCAGTTTGTGACTACAACGGTCGAAGCAGATGAACAAAATAATAGGATTTATCTGGATTGTCTTCTCCGGCTGGTATTTTCGATTTCTCAAATCTAGTAGTAATCTGTGAGGGGAAGTATTAGAATCCAGTTAAATTTTCGAATTTGTTACCGAAATTAATTGGCACAGTTACCTCCTTCATCGTGAAAACTTGAAATCCATCTGAATTTTTAATTTTGGAATGTGGATTTGTATTTAGAGGGAGTCCTGTTATGCGAGAAAAGTGATCTTAAACGGATGTATATATATATATATATATATATATATATATATATATATATATATATTTGTTAAATACCTGATGTTTGAATTTTTAAACTATAAACCTGTCTTTTGACTTGGGGTACACTATACACCTGAGTTGTGAATTTTTCCCATCTTCAAAGCTTTGTTTTTCGTCATTTCACATGCATTTGTCTTGGACCGTCCATTGCCCTAAACTTTAAAGCCCCATAGTCAGAGATAAGAAAAAGAAGAATTGTGTGACACAAAAAGGTTCGAGATCGCCAATTTGCAATTCATATTTTGAGATTTTCTTTCGTTGTGCTAATTTTGTGATTTTCTTCCATCTAGTTAACAAATCTACCGTCTACTTGTTTGACATTTGTTTTTCTTCCATGTAGGTAGCTTCGTAGCAAACCTGTATTAATTGGATTTGGATGTGGCTTTAGTTTTTCTTGTTAATATGAGCCTTTAATTTTTAAATTTGAAATATGCAAGTGTATTTCTACTTATTGAAACTTGAAAAATATGTTATATGTGTTAATATGTACTCTTCTCTGGTTGTCCCTTAATCTCTAGTCTCTAGACTCTAATTTGTGCCTTTGTTATCCTTGATATTAAAAATGTGTTTCGAGTTCTATGATTGTGACTTGCGGCCTCATTTTTCTCTTAAATTTGTCCACTGTTCATAGTAGAATTTTTGACGTGTTATGAGATTGGACAATGTATTTTAATTAATAATATTTCGTTTTAAAGAAATTGCATTTCAATTTTTAACCCCACAATATCAATCGTCTGGCTCCTGCCTATCCATGCGAGGTTTATCTTCAAAGACGACGACGATGACGACGACAACAACAACAACAACAACAACAACAACAATAATAATAATTAAGCTACCTTTGCGTTGAATTGATCCAAAGCCATCTACAAAGCATTGAGCTCACACGTGCAAATTCCATTTTTCAAATTTATTTTCTTCCGTTATTTTTTATTGCAACCCATCTTCCGCGTTATGCTTTCCTTCAAATTTTTAAAGAGTTGTACACATATTGACATTTTTAGTTAACTCCAACTGGCCTTGGTGTAGGATTCTGAGCGAACTCCTGAAGGTAATAATTTTTTTTTTGTTTTTTTTTTTGTTTTTTAAACTAGATTTTTAAATGTTTTTGGTACAAGGCAGCGGCCCAGGTACACTTTAGGAGGAGTTGGTGTGTCTTCATTTATTAATTTTGTATTCTGAATGTTGAATTTTATCATCTATTATAGGGGTTCTGAATTTGAAGGACTAAATGCTTTTCTTGTTTAATTGTAGAACCCAAGTGTTCCATTTTTCTACTGTCATTTTAATTGACTAATTTATACAATTAGTCAATTGCACAATTTTCAAGTTTTAGTACTATAACACGTAGATTATTTTTTATGGTTTCAACTTTCAACAAGATATCCTATTTAATAAATTTAGAGAAAATTAATCAATACTTTTAAAGTTTTCAACGAAATCGGAAAGTGTTAAAATCATAATTAAATAATACGGATAACATCACAGCTTTAGCCTCCACTAAATTAAATTTCATTTTTCTCTATTCTATTTTCAATCATATAATCTTCTATATAATAATATTACACGTAAACTAAAAAATTTTCCTTATTTTTCAACCACTAATTTTTCAAAAAATAAAAATAAAAATAAAGGAAACCTATTTCACTCATTATAATTTGAAATAATGGAGGCCAAAAGGTGGCTCAATTATATCTATCTCTTTATTAAATAAAATCATTTTTTTTTTACAAATAAAGTCATTAAATCAACTATCATACTCTTGCTTTTCTAAAATTTGAATTCATAAACTTCTTGTAACATATCCTAAACAACCTATCAATATATTTCAATTGAAGAAGTTTAATTATAGCATAGATATAAATGATTTCAGAATAGAAATAATCGTGGTTTTCGTAAGTGTTTGTGAGTTAACATTCTTTCATCATTATATCGAAGTTGCAATTAAGTCCCGTTTCTGAAGCTTATGGAGGTTGTGTTTTTGTGATGTATCCGAAATTCCATTATTTACACACTAGAGTTCTACAATGCACTAACTTTTTGGTTGATTTTGTCAGAATTCACACTAGGTTATGGTTCAAGTCTAAGGCCAACCTAGGCTTCTAATTCGAGGCAATCCGAGGCTCCTAGTCGAGTTTCTTAACAATTGTGAAGATTTTACGTACTTTTTTGCTCATTGGAGCTTGAGCAGTAAAGGCATTATTTTTGTCCAGGAGAGCTATACGAATGAGTTATGAATATTTGTTTCGTGGTAGACATGTAATGGAACCCTTTTTATAATAGATGTGACATCCATAAGGACACCAACGGAGCCAGCACTCAGAGAAATTATATGTTCAAAAGAATAAATCGATTTTAGAGAAATCGAATTATAATGCTTCGACTAGCCACTTTGGGATTAGGTTATTTCTGATTCGAAATGTTTCAACTAACCATTTAAGGTATTTTTATTCCTTTTGTAACTTTTAGACACTTGGATTGAAGGTTTATTTTTGATTTCATTCTAACATCTCTATCGTTATATTTGTTTCAAACAAGCCTCAGTATTGATTTACACAAAATATAAAAGAAACAGAATACAAAAGTCTACCTATCCTTGTATTGGTTACAAAAATAAGAATAATACTACTTGTATATAAGAAATTATATAATGGTTTATATACAAATGAGATGTCAAAAAGAAAGTAGGAATTTTTTTAAAAATTTTTTTGTTAAAAAAATTCTGATATAATCATATTTGACCACATAATATATATGCAAACTATTGTATATATATGTAGTACTACAAAAACAATCCCTATCCATGCGAGATTTATCT